CATTAAGAATATTGTGTTAAATAATCATGAAATTCATTAGATACACGGTTCCATTAAAAAGAGAATGATTTTAATAACCATGAAAATTATTTTACTTTTGTCTTTTTAGTAATAATGAGAAATGCAAAATTTAAAAAAATTATAAAAAATAGCTAAAAACAAACATTTTTAATTTTTATTTCAGTACAAATATCTCGTACAGGGAAGCCCAAAATAGTACAATTAGTACACTACCATTTTATGTGAGCACTTAACTATCCCAAAGTTTTAAAATATCGCATCGTAATAATAAAGAAATAAACATACATGATAGTGTATATAATAACTCTCGGCTTTGCATATCTGAACATGTCGCTTGCCAAAGACTTTGCTACTGTGACAGATAAAGATGTCGTTGGGAGGCAGAAATTAAAGACACAAGCCAAAGTAGTAGTAGTAGTAGTAGTTTTATATAGCGTGGTACCGCAGCCAGGGCTGGGCTCACGATGCTGTACATACAATTTAACAAACGTAATCATGAACTTAAAAATTAACATACATTTATTAAATTAAACAAAACAAATGTATATTCAAATTCATCTGGGTGAACAGGAGGGGTTGGAGGAGAGGGCCAAGTCATCTGAGTGAACAGGAGGGTTGGAGGAGGGGGCCAAGTCATCTGAGTGAACAGGAGGGGTTGGAGGAGGGGGCCAAGTCATCTGAGTGAACAGGAGGGGTTTGAGGAGGGGGCCAAGTCATCTGAGTGAACAGGAGGGGTTTGAGGAGGGGGCCAACCCCCCACCACCCCTCAGATATTCTTTTTATAAATTCAAAATGCATTTATGCATTATAGCGTATACTTGAAGATATTTTGGCACCATTCTACACTTAATCGTAATCCTTGTGAAGAATACGGTTCCCTCTACCTAGTTGTGTTCATACAAATACCTTCTATTGTAGTGCTTACTCAACAGTAAAACTGTTTTATAATTTTTTATTTAAGATTTCAGATTACTTCATTCAATCATTTTTATTATTTTAGTCAGTCCAAAAAGGGGCGGATACACCAAAATGGCATCTACCACCACCACCACCACACAAAACCATGTATCTAGGGCATTTGAAATATATGTCAATCCTTTTGGTGATGGTAGGCACCATTTTCATTCTTTGCATAAACAAACATTTGAAATAGTTTACGCCAAAAATGAAAAAAAAAAAATCGCTTATTGAATGAAGAGATAGGTTCATTTGCGATACAGAATGCGGGTGAACTATATAACATCGTGGAGATATTTTAGTCTTATAATTAGCGCAAGCTGTATTGGGAGAAGGGAAGAGAAGTGAATGAACTCAAATGGGGTATCAAAATTTGTAACGGTACCTCAAAAAACTGTACCATTTTGGCGTAAACAAGCAAGTCGTTAACTTATTCTACAGTTCAACAATTGGAAGCCTGCTTAATTTCAGTATTACCTGCTGGTGTGGGAATTCAACGTCTGATATTAAACATCGCATAAACTGACTAATCAAGAAAGCTACGAACATAACACATACTAAACATCCTTCACTTAAAGAACTATTTGAAGAAAAATGTTATTGTAAAACTAAACACATTTTGGATGATATTTCCCACCCTCTTCATCACAAATACTTAGAATAGGGCAATTCGGGACAAAATCTTTCCATCAGGGCGAGGTCTGAAAGATATAAAAATTATTTTGTTCTCCAATCTGTACGAATTTACCAGCGTGCTCCCCCAGAAGTCACAAATCTTAATTAGAACTAATAAGTCCCTGATATGGCTAAGAGAACTCACTGAATGGCTGTTTGAAATAATTTATTATAAATGTCTTGTCTTCATATTGTTTTATTTATGTGCTAAAAATGTGTAATGAAATCATAAAACATTTCCATTTATTTGGATCAATAAAAGAATCTTATCTTATCTTAAAATTGTTCATTGTACTCAAAATGGTAAGAGAAATCAGATCTGATGCCATGACATACAGCAAGAAAATTAGAATATTTTTTTTAATTTTCATACATTTGGTCTAAAAATTTTGACCATAAGGCCAATCATACATTTTGATATAAAAATTGTGACATAAAATATCTGTCATACACTTTGGTATTAATATTGTGACAATAAGACCAATCATACATTTTGGTATTAATATTGTGAAATAAAACCAATCAAACATTTTGATATAAAAATTGTGACAATAAGACCAATCATACATTTTGATATAAAAATTGTGACAATAAGACCAACCATACATTTTGATATAAAAATTGTGGCAATAAGACAAATCATACATTTTGATATAAAAATTGTGACAATAAGACAAATCATACCTTTTGGTATAAAAATTGTGACAATAAAACCAATCATACATTTTGGTATAAAAATTGTGACAATAAAACCAATCATACATTTTGGTATAAAAATTGTGACAATAAAACCAATCATACATTTTGGTATAAAAATTGTGACAATAAAACCAATCATACATTTTGGTATAAAAATTGTGACAATAAAACCAATCATACATTTTGGTATAAAAATTGTGACAATAAAACCAATCATACATTTTGGTATAAAAATTGTGACAATAAGACCAATGATACATTTTGATATAAAAATATTGAAATAAAAAGCAATCATGAAGTTGGTATAAAAAACAATAAAGCTATAATACATTTGGATATAAATATTGCAATAATAAGACTAATCTGCTGCTTTTATTTGAATGTCTTTCGCAAAAATTATAACTTTTAATTATAAAAACAACTCATTAATTAAAAAGAGAGTAAATAATATAATTAGTAAAAAAAAAAAAAAAAAAATATATAAATTTACATATAGTTTTATTCTAAGACCCATTCAATACAATAACAGGCTGGTTGGAAGGCTTCTTATCACAGGTTATTGAACTAAACATGATAACACATTGAAATATCTCATGAAGTTTGCTCATTAAATGTTTTAAATGTAACATATATTCATGAGTTGTATCAAAAGTAGCATATTACTTCTTATAATTATAACTTTGTTGTCATCACATTCCAGAAGAGTAAGTCGTTATTTTTAGTTTGCTTAAAGTTATGTTCTTTTAAGTCTATCAACGGGTTGAGATCATGATGTTTTGGGTGTCAACACTTGCCATCACTATGTGATAGGTGAATGGTATTAAAGGACTAGCTGGCAAACGTTTTGTATATGCCAAGTAACTAGTGCGGAGAGACAAAAGCCTTTCTTTAGTTTTTGTTGTCCCAGCTTTTTATTGATCAGTTTCATCATCATGGATAAACAGAAAAAATATTTTATTTTAACTTCAAAATATCTTCTTTTTTTTTCTATTGTCAAACATTCAAACTGTTCAAGACAACGCTTATGCATTTTTAACATAATTTATTGATTACAAAACTCATTCAGATTTATCGGAAATCAATCTAGGAATCGTGTTGAACATTATATCTCATAAAACAAACTTTGATCTAGGAATCGTGTTGAACATTATATCTCATAAAAAAAACTTTGATCTAGGAATCGTGTTGAACATTATATCTCATAAAACAAACTTTGATCTAGGAATCGTGTTGAACATTATATCTCATAAAACAAACTTTGATCTAGGAATCGTGTTGAACATTATATCTCATAAAACAAACTTTGATCTAGGAATCGTGTTGAACATTATATCTCATAAAACAAACTTTGATCTAGGAATCGTGTTGAACATTATATCTCATAAAACAAACTTTCATCTAGGAATCGTGTTGAACATTATGTCTCATAAAACAAACTTTCATCTAGGAATCGTGTTGAACATTATATCTCATAAAACAAACTTTCATCTAGGAATCGTGTTGAACATTATATCTCATAAAACAAACTTTCATCTAGGAATCGTGTTGAACATTATATCTAATAAAACAAACTTTGATCTAGGAATCGTGTTGAACATTATATCTAATAAAACAAACTTTGATCTAGGAATCGTGTTGAACATTATATCTAATAAAACAAACTTTCATCTAGGAATCGTGTTGAACATTATATCTAATAAAACAAACTTTGATCTAGGAATCGTGTTGAACATTATATCTAATAAAACAAACTTTGATCTAGGAATCGTGTTGAACATTATATCTAATAAAACAAACTTTGATCTAGGAATCGTGTTGAACATTATATCTCATAAAATAAACTTTGCCCGTATCAACTTTAAAAATGACATCATTGAATGAAATTTTTCTCCAGACAGCTTTACAAGACTCAAAAGTCAGGGAGTCTCAAAATGTTTATGGGGAAGAGGGTCCAACCCTTAAAAGGTTGTGATTTGTGATGCTGGGTGTGCACTGAGGGCAGGCTTCATATAATTTAAATAACAAGTACCCAGACTTGGTTAACCATATAATTATATAACGGTGGGGTGTTAACTGAAACACTGGGGAACAATTCATATCATTGAAATCATCTCTCAAATATCTTTAGCACTCTGTCTCGACATTTCATGGAAGCATTGTAACATATGAGAGTGATCCTTTGTCAAACTATGGAAAAGTCTTTACAGAAATGTGATGTTTCACAATAGGTGCTATGTTGGACAGCTTTCTCTCTATGGTACCAGGTATAGTCAGATAAGGTCTGATTTATTAACACTTTTGAAACATTTGAGGAATGTTAGGAATATGAGCAATTTCAATAGATGGACCATTTCAATAGATGGGCCATTTCAATAGATGGGCCATTTCAATAGATGGGCAATATCAATAGATGGACCATTTCAATAGATGGACCATTTCAATAGATGGGCCATTTCAATAGATGGGCCATTTCAATAGATGGGCAATATCAATAGATGGACAATATCAATAGATGGGCCATTTCATACCCTCTTTCACATATCCATTTTTCAGGTTTAACATGTGATCCTATATGCTGCTATTAGACTACAGATTTCTAACATATAGCTGCTATAGGCTGCACATTTTGTTAACAGCCTATAGCTTTGACACACCTTGTGCTGTACATTTCCTATAACATTTTGCAACTACAGCACACAACAAGTGCCTGAAACCTGCTTACGTTTTGTTGGCTGTTCCTGTTGTTGCACTTGGAGTCCCTTAGTGGATGGGGCTCCTGACGTTGTCTCTGGAAGTCTACCCCCAGTATTTATCTGATCAACTGTGCTGTGTGAGTTTAAATCCAGCCGACTCGGCTGCTTTTCCCCCAGTGTGCTGGCCTGGTCCTGGTTGATAGCTTTATTCTCTGAGGCGCTTCCTATTTCGCTTGGCTCATTTGTTAGGATGATTGTGGACATGCTCATTTCTACGTTGTTTGAGATATTCGAAGAGACATCTTCACTGGGAAGGGAGGAAACATCATCATTACTGTCTGTCAGAAACAGATTGACATCACTGCCTGCAGGACTGCTGCTCTTGATGACTGGCTTCAGTGAGGGGCTGATAGTGTGCTGCCTGCTCATCATGTGACCAAAAGATGTCAACATTACAATGTGCTGGATTGGAAAACAAATAGAATTATATCAGTACTATAAATGATCAACAGTTGTAGAGTGATGCAGAAAGAGATGGGGGTGGGGGAATTTGAAATATGTAAGGTGTTCATCAAAACAGCAAACTATTCAAAAAGTAAATTTCTTTTATGCATCACAATAGCATCTGGATTCATTTTTTTAAATTTAAAATTTGAAATTATTTTTTTATAATTTAATATCGTTTCTATGGTTTTAGATATTTGTTTTAATATGTCAGGATTGATTAAACATAGCTGAAATCCAACAGAAAGTCTATATGGTATCATCTGTTATAGCGGTTTTTTTTTATTATTTAAGTTTTTTTTTTTTTTTTTTTTTTTTTTTTTTTTTTATTTTTTTTTTTTTTTTTTTTTTTTTTTTTTTTTTTTTTTTTTTTAATTTTTTTTTTTTTTTTTTTTTTTTTTTTTTTTTTAAATAATTATTTTTTTGTTCATTAACCTGTAGAGCACACAATGATGTACAAATTAATTCTTTTAACATTGAAATTAAAAACAAAACCAGAAATTTAAAAACATCATGCAAGTTGTCCATGGATGCAGTGGGAAACATAAGCAAGGGTTAAGTAGTTAAGAACATAAGCAATTTTCTCAAGGTCACAGCTAAAAGAAAAGGACAAGAAAATCTGCTCACATCTTTTGCACTGACAAGGTCATCCTGAGCTCCCTCCAGGTCACTCTCCAGGCAAGCAATGTTATCAAGGCTGCATCTAACTGATGACCCTGAGCCCCTGAAAATAATGTATCCATCCATAAGTTACATTTCACTATCATGGGAAAATATTAAGCATTTTCTTTTAATTATTGGCCATGATAGCTCAATTTTTATTTCAAAGTCGAAATTAATCCCCGGGGGGTTCCTCGATGAATCCAGACCAATGTGGACAGACAGTCACGAAGCATTCATCCAGACTATTGTGGACAGACAGTCACGAAGCATTCATCCAGACCATTGTGGACAGACAGTCACGAAGCATTCATCCAGACCATTGTGGACAGACAGTCACGAAGCATACACGATTGATGCACAAAATAATGCTACATACCATGTAAAAAAATTAGTTGTGACCAAAATAAAAGAAATGTATTTAAACTGGTGCTGTGTTGTAAATAACAAATTATTAAATTTTACAAACTTTAAAAAACCAATAGCAATTTAGCATGGACCATATAAGATATTAAAATGACAATCTTAGAGCTACTGAAATGTACTTTATGATTTTAAAATGACAATCTGAGAGCATCGTAAACATACTTTATGATTTTAAAATGACAATCTGAGACAATTGTAAATGTACTTTATGGATAACTCACGCTTGAGAGAGAACGTATGCAGCATCATGAGCTGCCGCGGTCAGCGCTAGATTCTGTGCCGCAGTGCAGCGGTACGTCCCGGCCATGCCAGCAATGTCTACGTCATATCTTGGATTTTTGTTGCTGCTTGCCCGCTCCAGCCTCCTCCATATATTGTCATCAAGGCTTATGGAGAAGGGAAGAAGGTGGAAGTAAAATGGAGCGGCTGCATTGTGGTCACACTGAAATTATGGCAACAAGTCAAGAAACAGTGTATTTTCGCTTGTAAGATGGGAAATAATGAATTTATGGTTGTAAATTGAAAAAATGATTTTATGGTTGTAAATAGAAAAAATGAATTTATGGTTGTAAGATTGGATATAATGAATTTATGGTTGAGAGATGTAAAATAATGACTTTATGGTGATAAGATGGGATAAACTGATTTTATGGTTGTAAGATGGGAAATTATTACTTATAGTGCTAAGGTGGGAAATATTGAATTTATGGTTGTGAGACGGGATAAACTGAATATATGGTTGTAAGACGGGATAAACTGAATTTATGGTTGTATCCCAGGTTGTGAGATGTAAAATAATGACTTTATGGTGGTAAGGTGGGAAATAATGACTTTATGGTGGTAAGGTGGAAAATAAGGACTTTATGGTGGTAAGGTGGGAAATAATGACTTGATGGTGGTAAGGTGGGAAATATATTTATGGAAAAAATTCATGTAGTGCTTGCTGTTGCCTCTTTTGAAATCATGACTTATGAAATCATGACTTTTCCTTCTTTGGTTTGTGCTTCATCTTCACCTGCATCAAGTAAAGGATGGTCCTGTCCTTGGTAGTCCTTTGTCGACACAGCACGGTGTGGAGCTCTTCTACCAGGTGTTGTGAGGAGATGAACAGGTCCGAAATGAACAGGACCACCAGGTCCGCCGAGTCCAGTTGCGTCCTGCGCTGGGAGTGGCTTGCTGCCTGCAGCTGACAGGTCAGCCCTGGATTAGCTTTGGTCATGATGACCGACATGATGGCGGCCAGGCTTAAATGTTCTGGAGCATAGCTGAACACAATGTTGCCTGGTAGCAAGTGGAAAGTATAAGAATAATTTAATACCTTGTTAAATGCGGGGATGATCATACCATATTTCTTTTTTGTTGTTTCGACAAACTGGCTGACGGTTATAGAAATCTGGTTTTCAATTTTTACAATCCGGACTTCGGACCTCCAGAAACAGTGTTCCTGTACTTTTTTTGTTGATAAGAAATGAACACATAAATTGGGGGTGGGTGTGTGAGTGTGTTAATTCTTTTAAAAAATTCTTCTCATTAAGCATTTTCATTTCATTTTACTTTTGGTTATTTAAGAAAGAGGCATAATTATGGGGGACTGTGAACTGCCATCTTGTTAACATGTATCACAGAATAAATGCTTGCTGTCACAGGCGACCTATTTTCCCAATTTAAAAAAGTCCATTCTCAACCAGCTTTCAACATCTGACAGCTGTTGTCAACAGAGAGTGCATTATCTGGATTTGTAAAAAACTTTTGATCTTTTACATCATGATAAAAATAAATCAAAAACCGGTTTGTGAAAATGAACAAGTTATCGGGTTCAAAACTGAAAACCAGATTTCCTGTTTTGGCTTAATATCCATAGTTAAATTTGAGTTTCATATCGTTAAGAAGAGTGTGGACGGGGCCCTGTAAAGAAGTATTGACAAGAATTTGAAAAGGGTATAACACATACAGGGTAGTTTGATTTCTGATAAAATAAATGTATCACTAGGGAGGTGGAGTTTCAGAATAGAATACTCCTCCGCACACCCCCCCCAAACGAGTCTTGGATAACTATCTTGAAATATAAATGTATGCTACAACTTGAATTAAATGGAAGCATGTAACGGACAATGTTTTCACATGAAAACAGAGAGGTAGCATGAGTGAACAATGAATGGTGTTGACCATGTTTTTGTCCACGAGGACAATGAATTGTATTTTGAGATACAAATGTGAGCTCCACGTTTTTGGAGAGTAAAATTATGTTTTTGTCAGAGCGGTTGTTTTGCACGCTTTGCTGGTAATAAAGTATGAGTTGACTGAGATAGTAGAGAGCTGAGCGCAGAGCAGTAGAGTCAGTAGCGTGAGAGCTGTGTGATTAGACAGTTGACAGTTTAGTGTGAGGACGTGTCTTTCTTAATGATGGA